GAGAGAGATGTAATTGAATAGATTAGTAATAATATATTAGTATAATGTTTAATATATCACATATAATTATACATAGTATAATTTTAGTATAATGTATAAATACAATATTAGGTATAAAGCAATATTAGCAATAATGTGACCTAGATATGTTTTTGTGAGATTCATTTGATGGTTAGAAAACTGAACATGAACTGAACTAACTAACTAAAAAAAAAAAAAAAATCCATATACAGATATGTTGAATTGAATGTCAAACGCTCAAATGGCTCACGTAAATATAGCACAAATGTGCCTTGTTATGTAAGAGACAGACCAAGAATTATGGCTCTACACATCATGAAAAGGCACCAAGAACCGCTGCTTTAGAGTGCGAGTGACATAACATCTGCTGGAGAGAACGTCTTCAGTGTTCAGAGTCAAACTTCCCAGGAAAAACATCAGGTGAACTTTGGAAAAGACGATGAGATGCCTTCATGTATACGCATGGACTATCAGAGACATCTTCTCCCATGCCAGCATTTCTGTGCTGTTTTTACCTTAGTTCCTGGCTGGAGTTGGGAGAATCGGAGCGCTTCGTACAGAAACAACCCTCTCTTCACGTTTGACGAGGTTTGCCTTGGACAATCTGGTATACTTCCTGCTGATATTTAAGACAAAGAGGTTTTGAAGAAGAATCAGGCGAACAACACTAGTCCAGAGAGAGAGAGCTGCACCTCCAGTCCAGAAAGATGTCTGTCTCCTGCTGCTCCCTCAGAGACCATCCTAACCACTCCTAAAGCAGAAAAAAGAGAGAAGTGTGGTACCTTGTTAAAGGACATATCAGAACTGACATGCCACATAAAGGATGGGACGTTTCTAGATTCAGTAACCGATCGCCTTTTGGATCTGTTAGAAGATATAAGGCAACACGCTCCCCATGATGACATCCTTGACCTTTCCTATGCACCACCATCCAAAAAACAAATGTGTTCAGCGTCCGCCGGACACCCAGAACCACTTCCAATCCCCAAAAGATGCTCCGTATCTGGAATAGTTGATGAGGGCAAGCCATACAAGTGACTTTTGAACTACATTTTTAAGGTGTCACTTCCCTTAATCATGATTTGTTGTTGTAAACATTTTTGTCATTAAAATGCTTTAATTTTATGTAATAATTGTAGTACGTGTGGTATTTGGAGTTGTAATTTCTCCTGTTCTTCAGAAATAACATGGTTGATGTAGCCTAACAAACCCTCAGGCCGAGTGGGGTCATTTTCCTTTGCTTTCCTGACAAAAGTAGCTTGCTGGTTATTAAAAGAGCAATTTGACACAAGTGATCTTGGGAATTGTATCATAGTTTTTGTTCTTGTTTGCAGGTACTTCTTCAGTTGAAGATAATCACTAATGTGAAGATTCTCTCTATTGTACAGTGGAGTTCAAATGTTTAGGGTTGTTAATGATATTTTTTATTTTTTGATAGAATTCTCTCATGCTCACCAAGTCTGCAGTTGATTGATAAAAAATACAGTAATATTGTGAAATATTATTACAGTTTAGAATAGCTATTTTCTATCTGAATATGCTATAAAATAATTTATTCCTGTGATGCAAAGCTGAATTTTCAGCATAATTCCTCCAGTCTTCAGTGTCACATGATCCTTCAGAAATCAATCTAATATGCTGATTTGCTGCTCAAGAATCATTTCTTATTATTATCGATGTTGAAAAAAGTTGTGATGCTTCATATTTTCAATTATTTCGGATTCTTTGATGAATATAAAGTTCAAAAGCTGAATAAAAATCGCTGTGTTCAAAAAAGAAAACCTTACTGACCCAAACTTTTGAACAGCTGTGTATTTGCACTTTTTCAGTACAGATATTTCCATAAGTAAGAGTTGTATGTACGAAAATAATAATGCATTGTTTGTAGCTATATTTTACATGTACATTTTATTTATGACCTGTGCAGATAAACTCCTAATTGGTAACACTACAACATTTAGTTTTCACAAGCGTCAACCGCAAATGAGCGTTTTTAATAAGAACATTACTCACAACTCCCCAGGATCATTTTGTTAAACAAGACAACTGTGGTTTGTGGTTGGAAAGATACTCACTTGCGGTTGATGCAGACCTCTTTAAAAAGAGCTCCACATGCTTCTGAGGAGCACATTTGAACCTCGATTCTGAAAGCTTCTTCTTCACGCTGGTTAGAGATCATCTGCTAAGATGCTCCGCAACATCTTTCTTGTCAGCTTGCTCGTATGTGCAGGTAAAAGAATCACTCATTCAGTTCTAAAATGACTTCTATTTTGTGTTAGGGATAATTATTTGTCTTATGATTCTAATATATTCGTCTTAAGCTTGAATCAGTTGTTTTAATTCATTATTGTCCATTTATTTGTAGTCTGTGCAGATCATTGGGAGATCCGTGAAGTGGACTCGGCTGAGGACCAAGATGAAGAGATCTCTGTAAGCATCTCCTGGTGACAACAAATAAGTGTTTTTTAAATAAGTGTATACTTAAAAATAATGGCCGATGCACATATCTGTTTAACAAGACTGGGGGAAAACTTTTCACTCATTTGCATGTGATTAACAGGTGATCAATGACTAATTAAGCATGCATAGTTTATTGCATTGTCTCTTTGAGTCATTTGGAGATTGACGTCTGCTGTATTTTTATTTGCTTTATTGTTATATGATTCATGTTTGTTTCATATTGTGATGTTTTTCAGGCTGACGGCATGCCGAAACAGCAGATATTTAGTAAGTGCAATACATGCAAAACCATCATGAAGGCAGTGAAAAAGAAACTCTCCCCTAATGCAACGCCGGTGGGTGTCATGATTGATATTAAATTACTGAACTGACCATGCATCTCACAACAACTTTTAACTAAATCCATCATTTCCCTCAGGATGAAATCAAAACCAAGCTGAACAAGGCCTGTGATAAATTTAAGCTGGTGAGTGGTCAGTGCAAGAAACTTGTTCAGAAGTATCTGCACAATATAATTGATGAGCTGATGACGGATGACGGGCCAAACACCATCTGTATCAAAATTCATGCCTGCAAGTAGGTACACAGAAATACCCATGCCAAAAGTTTACAATCATGTCTTTTTTCCCACAGTAATATGGTGATAATATGATTAAATTAAGAGATTTTAAATAACTTTTTTGTTTGTTCCAGGCCAAAACCACCCATAAAGGAGTTCATTTTTGCACATGATCAAGCTCATGACAATTTCTGAATGAGAATAAATGATTGCATTGAAAGCATTACAGTATATGCATTACAGTGAAATAAATAAAAAATAAATAAAACAATCAATTACATGTGTTTTCTTTTATTTTTATCGTTTAATAATTAAGCTAAATCAAAAGTGTTTAAAATATAAAATAATTCAAATAAAATGGTATTCAAATATTCAGAGACAATAATAATCATCGTTTTACCACATCATTTGCCTTCTAACAAGCTCATGTTTGCACCAATGACTACAGATGTTTTAGATAAGAGCACTGCTATGAAATTAATCAAATTAAACAGAAAAGTATATGTTTACATCATAAGTCAGAATATATATATTAGTTCAGTCCACTATGATTATGACAGATGTGAATGGGATTTGTACGTAGTTGCAGTTAAATGAAGGGTTCTTGTGGTTAACCATGAGACTTCTGCCATATCCAGGACAGAGGTCCTATTACAGTTGTGTACTATCACACCATTTAAAGTGGCATGCCTCATTTTATGATGCCATTTCTGAATGATGTCTTACAGAGCTTGACTTGTATGACTATGCTGAGAGGAAAATATAATTTCACGCTTTTATGCACCCCTATAAAATCTGTCACTTGTTAAACTATACTATTATACTACTATCTACCATAACATCTACTAATGCGATATTTAAGATTTAAATGTTGCTTTTTGAGTCACGTATATTAGTTATTTACTACAGTTCAAACTTTTTTTTTAAAGAAATCAATACTTTTATTCAGCAAGGATGCATTAAATTCATCAAAAGTGACAGTAAAGACACTTATAATATCACAAAAGATTTCTACTTTAAATAAATGTTTGTTTTTAAATCGTCTTATTCATCAACGAATCCTGAAAGAAAATGTATCATGGTTTCCACAAAAATATTAACTGTTTTTAACATTGATAATAATTAGAAATGATTCTTGAGCAGCAAATCAGCATATTGGAATGGTTTCTGAAGGATCATGTGACACTGAAGACTGCAGTAATGATGCTGAAAATTCAGCTTTGCATCACAGGAATAAATGACATTTTAAAATAGAAATAGAAAAAAGTTGTCTTTGTAATAATATTTCACAATGATACTGTTTATATTGTATTATTAATCAAATAAATGCAGCCTTGGGGAGCATAAGAGACTTCTTTCAAAAACAGAAATCATACCCACCCCAAACTTTTGAACAATGGTGTACATTTTCAAAGGATGTAAATGGAGTAAGATGCTCTTTCCAGCCAAAGCATGTAGTTTACCACTACAGCCAGCAGGGGCCAAATAGCCACGCTAACCGGCCCAACCTTGAAACTTGACCCTATAAACTGCTCTCTGGGCACTAAACTAGAAAAGGTTAAATGTTGAGACGCTTTTTTACCCAGATACCAGGTAAGGCTGAGTGAGTACCAGATAAAACTATGCAACCACATTGCCACACCCAACCACTACAGAGTTTCAGGAGAAAAACTAAGCAAACTTAAGTATGACACTGATTACCTGCATGGCACCATCTAATGAGGCCATCTAACATGAATGTGGCTATTTAGATCAACAGTTCCCACATTCACACTCATCATCAGTCATTTAGTTTTAGCACAAAACCCCCCTTATACAGCCTCCCCTAATACTTCCCTGACAAAATAATAGGCTACTCATGTGCTAAACAGATGCTTTAGATGAACAATTATTTAGTCAAAGCAATTGCTAGTACCATATTATTGTATCGGTGCCATTAAAATAATCATTATTGATATACAGAGTCATTTGCATTTGCATTTATGTTTTCATTATACTTTATTTGCGATCGGTTAGTTGCGATGTTTATAGCTTAAGTTAACATATTGCACTTTTATATTACTGTAATATTATATTTTATATTATATTTTCATGCATGCTTTATTTGTTCACAGAAAATTAGACAAAATAAATACAAAATAAAAAATATCTTAATGATTTCATGATGGTGTTAATAATAATAATTATTATTAGTGCAATATTGCAATTTTTTACAGAAATTAGTTTGACAAAATTATTTTAAAGGTGATCTTAACGATTTCATGATGATGTTGGTAGTCATTTTTGCTAATTATTTTCACCAATAATAATCATTTTTATTTGTCAATTTTCTGTTTGTGTTTTTTTTTTTGGTTACTAGTTTCTGGACAACCTCAGTAACAGAGTAGGATATATGGGGGCTGAATTTCGCTTAATGTGAAGTATTTTATAAAAGTACATATGCAGAAAATATTAGTTCTGGTCAGTAGGATTCACTATTGCTTAAGATGCAAACAGGCTGAAGATCTGAAGACAAAATGAGGTCTTGAGATCAACACAACCACACAAGCCATTTCCTCCCTTGTCGCGTATTTCTCACAGTGACTGATATGTTCAGATATCTGATAGCATCAGAGCATCTTTACATCCTTTTAAACACAACAGTGTTAAAATATGACCATGAGTCAGCAGTAGCTATTTATTGTAATTCTTCTCCTTATAAACCAAGTGTGAGGAAAAAAAAAAAAACCGAATTCAAAGGAAATAATGACTGCTCCGTGCCCTGCATTTGATGACCTAGTGGACAAGACATGATATTATTTTATCAAAGATGATTGGCTAAAGCCTTTAAAGTAACTAAAAATGAAGAAGAAGAGTTGTGTGGAGTGGTTTGTGTAGTATCAGCGTATGTCTGTGGGTTGTTTGTCAAACGGGGCTGTTTAAGTTGTCTGGTTGTTGTGGCAGAAGTGTGAAAACAGCCTGCCAATCAGGTGGTCTGTATGATGTGTGTGTAGGTGCTGGTGAAGATGAACAATTCACACAAACTCATCATTCATTCACTATCATGTCATTCCAGACCTGTATGACTTACTCTTTTCTGTGGAAAACAAAATAATTTTAATAGGGTGAATTCAGTACAATGGCAGTACATTGTGACTAGGGTTGGAGCCACTGATCTATAATAGTATTATAATAGTATAATAGTAGAATTTATATAGACCAGTGGTGGAAACTTAGAATGTTTCTTATACAGATTGGATTTTATTCAAAATAAATAACTATATGCAAAAATAACAAAATTTAATGACGTTCGCTTCCTTTAACAATTCTTGCTTGTGAATTCTTACAAATGATGTGCAAAAATACTCAGGTTTCCTGCAAAGTACTTTTTTAATGTTGCATCCGATGTATGATTCTAATGAGTCGGTTCTTTTTAGTCAGTCGAAGAAATGAAGCACATACAGTGTTTTACAATTACAGAATGAAAGATTGTGTAGTCCAATCACAGAACAAATGATTCTGAGTCAGTTTTTTCCAGTCAATCAAAAAGAAAAGCGCATCCTGTGCTTTCCAACTATAGTTCGAAAGACTCTAATGAGTTGATTCTCTTCACTCAATCCAAAACATAAAGTGCATCTGGTGAAGTCTGATTACATAACGGATGATTCTAATGAGTCAGACTTTTTTAGTGAGTCAAAAACATACAGAGCAACCAGTGGTGTGCGAATCATATGTATGTGAATGTATATTATATATATATATATATATATACACAGTCATGGCCAAAAGTTTTGGCAGTGACATAAATTTTGTGTTTTGCAAAGTTTGCTGCTTCAGTATTTGTAGATTATTTTTCCATATGTTTCTATGGTATACTGAAAAACAATGATAAGCATATCATAAGTTTTAAAGGCTTTTATTGGCAAAAAAACATAATGAGTCAATATTTACGGTGTTGACCCTTGTTCTTCATAACCTCTGCAATTCACTCTGGCATGCTGGATATTAGCTTCTGGGCCAAATCCTGACTGATGGCGATCCATTCTTGCCTTATTAGTTCTCAGAACT